GATCAAACAGTTTGAGACGAAATGAAATTGTGTTTTTCCTGAGAATTATTGTAAAGAAAACAATAGGTACAGATTAGAAAGGTACGTTTCACCGATTTCGATGATCTTGAAATATATTGTCGAGCTCAGCATTTGTGAGCCTTTAGTTTTTTATATAGATTTTTACATATCCTAAACTTAAATTATCAACAATAATCGTTACTTATTATTATTATTATTAATTCCTGAGCCTTTAGTTTTTTATATAGATTTCTATATATCCTAACTTAATCCTAAATTTAAATCATCAACAATAATCATTACTTATTAATTCCTGAGCCTTTAGTTTTTTTTATATAGATTTTTGCCTATTCTAAACTTAAATTATCAACAATAATCATTACTTATTATTATTATTAATTATTATTTATTAGCAATAATAAATAAGATATTAATTAGACTAAATTAATATTCAACTGTCACTAGATGATCGGAGAAGCCAGCGTGAAATAATCCACATTGATACATTGTTTGATCTTAAATCGGTGAGAAATAAAATAAATATAGCTGTTGGCATTGAAAATCATTATGCTTCAGAAATATACCCTAAACCGAACATATACTTGACTAACATCTAAAATATACACTCTACACGAAACATAAACTATATGATAACGTATGATAGCAAAATCAAGACGCTGATGATATTTGAACGTCATCGAGATCGGTGTAAAGTGTATTGTAAACAAATTATTTATCTGGTCACGATTTCTCCCGAAATCCGTTAAATGTTTGATCCAGGGGCAATATAACACGAAACGGACGAGACGGTGAATTAAACGAGGCACCTTCTATAAAATCCGATTGCCGTTTCAGATATTAATACGTCTGATTGTCAATTATACGGCCGGCTTGGCTCGATACGTATTCATTCGACGTTCCGTGCGCCGGCAGAACGTTCTGAATGCATACGTCATGAAATTCTTCAAGATTAGCAAAGGCATCGCACCGAGAAAGGAGTCGAAAGGAGGACGAAGAAAGCTTGCTTATGCTTTATGCATAATCCGACAGATAAGAATACGGTAGGTAAGTTGGCCGGAAGGCGCACGTGCCGAGATATTCCACGAGAATGGGAGTTATCGCTCTTGTCTACCCCTTTTCTGGCATCCGTTTGTAATGCACGGTAGCAAATATATCCGCTGCTTGCCACGAATACGTATTATTGTTCTGACATGAATGCGAATATTTAACGTCTAATGCAGTCACGTTGCGTTATATGAAAACAGGGAGGAATTCGAGGTGAAATGAACGCGCGCCGCGAAGAAAGGAATTGTTTCGGATGTATGCACTTGGTTCGCTGGCAGGAGGAAGCTTCGCTCCGTTGTTTTTGCGATTTATACGTTCTAACGCTATGGGTAAAGGTGGAACGTTGCAATATTGAAAGTTGATAAAACGCGGGGAACAGGGTGTCCCTTGCATTTCCGATGCACAAACGTTACGCGTAATATTCAGTTTTACGTATGACAGTTTCCGGCTGGTCTTGGGTGGATTTTTGCGTCGTGCAAGTTTCCGAATGAAACCGAGTGAAACGAGTTGCACGAACACGCAGACGAACACGTTCGCGTAACCAGCATCTTCGTTTCCCGTACATCCTCGGTGACAACGTTCCCCGTTTGTTCCTTACCAATCAAATCTCGGTAGTATGCTAATACGGGGGACGAAGTTTCGAAATTGCCTTAATTCGGTGTGTTTCGGCGCGACGGCCTTTTTCCCCGAGTGAACTAAACACCGCTAACGACAGGTTGCAATCTAGAACTTACAATTAGTTAAAACCGACATCAGGAACAAGCTGAATTAGTTTCAACGCATTTCTCGAATAGATTATAATATTAATTCCAAGGTGATTTGCATGGAAACCTGTCAAATTCACGATCGCGGTTTGCTATCATCTACCTCTCGCGTTCTGCGCCCGTCCATCTCGAAATTCAACTATATAGTCCGAATATTTGTCACAAACGAAGTTTCGACACACCAACCAACGACGACGACGGGTTCCGGATTCGTTCGAACGTGCGAGTATCGACGCGTGATTTCAGAAACAATATCGAGTCAAACGAGTTACGATGAAATATTCAAACGGTCTACTCGTTACGAGACATCCGCGGCTAGCAGCATCCTGGTGGTACAACCGAGGAGGGTGGTGATTCTACATGAGAAAACAAATCGAAAATAAAGAATAAAATTTTTTCATTTGAGGCTCCGTTGCCGAGAAACTCGATCTTGAACATTCGCCGAGTACGCGTGCACTTGTGGATCTCGAGACAAGTCATATTTCACTTATGAATAGCATTAATATCATTAGTGTATCAACATGATGTGTTACTCATCTCTGCCTATAGATTTAGAGTGGATTTAAATGAAAATAACGCATGTAATTTACTAACATACTTTATTAATGCAACAATTGTTGCATTTTTAACAACTGTACTCACCGAATTAAATTTGCACGAACGCATTCCAATGTATTTTGTTACCTTTCAATTCTTCAAACACCAAAACGAATCCTCGCTTTTAATTGAGGAATGCTTGTAATTTTCGCCTCGTACACTTTTGATTTAACTTGACCCGATAAATAAAAATCAAGGAGGTGTCAAATCCATCATTTAATAAATTTTTAACGTCTCGAGAAAAATGTGGCGGGACAACACCATCATGTTGGAAAATGAGATTTTGTCTAATAGCTAGACGTATTCTAACATATTGGACAAGTCTTCGCGTAAACACCTGAAGTATTCAATTCCATTTAAATTATTTGGGAAGAAATAATAAGTCTATATCAAGGTCCATCCATCTAAGTGCCATAGTTGAGTGCACGCATGAATATTTAATATTGATTTTCTCGACAATTTTTTCATATAGAATCACCCGGTTTCTCGGTTGTACCATCGATGCTGGGACACTCTGTATACATACGTGTACATAGAGTTCCCGGGGCAACAGAAATAATCGAGTTCCCGAAATTTACATCCATCTACGGCCTCCATTTTGCGTGACATGCCTTGGGCCGCAATCTGTGTGCAAAGCCTTTGCCAGAAAGTTAAGAGGAAATTATAATATCGTGTACATGCATGGTGTGTACGCACGTGCCTACGTGTGTGTACATATGCGTGAACGGAGATTGACGAAGAAGAGCGCGGAACGAAAGCTGTGCGAAAATGTCCTACCGCTGGTGAGTGTCTATGATTCGCAGATACGCGCGTTTCTATGTATTTGTAAACCAGTGCCTAGAGACGAGCGTGTAACAGCAAGAGGTTACAAGCGCACGTTCGTGAAATAACGAGAACACCTGAGTAGCACACATCGTGAATTCCCTTTGTCCGAGCCCACGAAGTGAGCGACGATCTACAAAGCAGAACTACGTGCCAGATTTTCTCGACCGACGCTGTCTTCGGTCACGGCGAAGAAAATCGAGGCACGCTGGAACGAAGTTCGACGCGTGAAACTTTCCGTACACGATCTGTGACTGTGTCACAGTGGGAGTCACGTTGAACTCCAAAAAAAAAAATAAATAAATAAATGCACGGCAGACAATTTCGACGCACTAGTTTGGTAGGAACACACAACATTTACATTAAGAAAACAGCCCCACCGGTAACTCTGATGATAAAATACCTTGGCATGCATCTCGACAAGAAACTAAGGTAGAAACACCACATACAAATGAAACTGGAGCAAATAAAAATAAGTAGAAGATCTATGTACTGGCTTAGGGGAAGACAATTTCGGTTAAACCCTGAAAACAAGGTTTATTGATATATAAAACAATTATCAAAGCGATCTGAACCTATGGTATTGAGCCATGGAGAACAGAAGCTAACGTTAAAGAAATAGAATCTATCCAGTCTATAATACTTTGCACGATAGTCAACGCATCGTGGTACATCCGCAATGAGGAACTTCGAAAAGACCTAGAAGTCCCAACAGTCTCAAAGAAGAGATAGAAAGAAGAGATACTGCGGAAAATAGAAAATCAAAGTAGATAATGATCAATGATCTAGCCAACAGTCTATACAAAATATCAGTACCAAGGAGATTGCATAAAAAGCATCCAATCGATTTACTAATGAAAGAACAGCCAAGCTAACAAAATACTCAAAGTATCTGCGTGCTAACTAAACAAAATGTCGAAAAAATTGACCAAATGTTCACTGAAACAGATTGTCAATTGTAAAACGGGGTTATAAAAAAGAAAAGTTTGGTAGGATCGCTAGAGACTGAGTCTCTAAGTCATAAAGTAACTAAGTATCGACTGGTCAGAAGGAAATGATTGGAGGTTCGACTGATTTTAACGACTAATTGTAAGTCGAAAAATCAAGATTGTAACAAATTGTAGCCACGTATCTGCTATCTAGGCTTGACTCTGGGTCAAACAGAGTGAAGACATAAATTTAAACGCTGTCTTTTTTATTTTTGCGAGTCACATTCGCTTGTCTCTGTCGCAGTTTTCGAGGAATTTTGGAAAGGGTAGTGGGACTTTATCGTTGCTGGTCGGCGGCGTGCAAGAATCTCGCCCTCGTTTCCAAAAAAAAAAAACTCGGCCTAACCCTATTCGCGAGAGATTTCGCAACGGGGAGGAGTTCCGAGCGTGTTTTTGCTACCAGGGTAAATTTCGAATCTTTCGCGCGTATGACAGGCTTTACGGTTGGATAGGAGCCCGGAGAGAACGTACCAAACACCGTGCTAACTTTTCGAAGCTCCGCCGACCACCGCCGCTAACTTTTCCCGGTAACCGTAGCTGAGAAGACTTAACTATGTATGACACACGCAACAAACCGTGAACAGGTCTGCTCTCCGACTACATCTCCTCCGTTTCCTATCCTACACCTCGTCGCATCAATCTGCCCGCGATATTTCCGAAAAGACGTCGTCTCGCAGGAGAACGAGATTGGGCAAAGTCTCGACGACAGAATCTGGCCGCAGCAAATTCTTTGACGCAGGATATTCTTTCTTTGTTTATTCAGGAAGAGGAGCTCCATTACAACGTCACTGCCGGCATAGTGCTCTCGGACCACTCCCTGGTACTTCAAAGTATAACTCGAGAATCCGCTGGAAGGTACACCTGCATGGCCGTCAATGTCGAGGGCCGCGCCAGTTCTAACGTAGTGAACCTCGAGGTTATGTGTGAGTATATTTTGTTGCTCTCGAAAAAAAAAGGTGGGCCGGCAAGAAAAAAAAAAAAAGAAGAGAGAACGTGTACTTTGACTAGCGAAAGTTGGCGATAAAAACTCAACCGGTGTACACTTGTGTCTCTGATACTTTTGCTCCTTGGCAAGTAAATTTACCAAGGAGCTACTCCTTTTGTTCCCCGGCGGCGTTAACGGCGACCTTGTTCCTTCACAAATGCAGCGTGAAGTACATATTTTACTCGAGTCCCGTTTTTATTAAAGAACAACGCGTCTGCCGTATGTTAAGTGCAAAACACTTACGACAAATCCAGCGTGTCATATTAGGAATTTCTAAAACATTTGCCCGTAGAACTCGTAGATATGGATCATTTAAAATTCCAAACTAGACTAAGTCTCAAGCACGATAAAGTGTAATAGTCATGTTATAAACACGTGTGTACTCGAGTTACATCTCATGGATGGCAGTGAGATATTTTGAAACCGTCCTCTGTACTTTCTGATCTTGGTCTTAATACATCCCTCGTTCCACAACTCCTCCTCTAGTAAAAGTAACACACGACCTTGACATAAAAAAGGACTCTGAGGACATCGTATTGGAACACAGTCGGATAAAAAAAAATAATGAAATCAAAAAGCTAATCATCAGACGTTATTCGGTTCAAGCTCAGTCGTCGGTACCTTAGTTAGCTTTCTGAATTTAGTAGAAGCCATCGGGCTTACAACAGTGGATGGTCTTTCGAATTCTAAGGGATACTTTTCTCCCAAAATTGCAATATTTCGTCGGTTCCAAGTATATTTAAGTATAACTGAGCAGGCGAAACAAATAATAAATTTACTACTTCTCAATAATTTCTAGTCCAGAAAGAAAGCGACGAGTTATTGTATACGATGTTGGTCGCTCGTTACGGTCCGCAATCAGCTGCCAGCCGCCAACTGGTTAACAATCGTATCTGCTTTGTTGTTACAGTCGCCCCCGTGTGCAAGCACGTTTTAAACTCGGCCGGCTGGAGGTACCAGAACGCAACGCCACCGCCATTGAACGTACCGGAGGAGGTTCACGGAGCGCTGAAGCACGAGACGATCAGCTTGGTCTGCGAGGTGGACGCGAGCCCGACGTCCGTCAGCTTTCACTGGACGTTCAACAGCAGCGGCGACCTGACTGACATTCCGTCCACGAAGTACTCCAACGAGGGCACCTCCAGCAGACTCAATTACACGCCGTCGTCCGACATGGACTACGGGACGTTGGGCTGTTGGGCCAGTAACATCGTCGGACCCTCGAAGCAACCGTGCCTGTATCAGGTGATCGCTGCAGGTTCGTCAGAATATGTTCGTTTCCTACGTTCTCGTCAACGAGATTCGCGTCTCGGTTTGTTGAGAATTTTGCAAATTCGCAGTGAAACTGACGAAAAATATATCGGCCGGGGAATCGATATCGGAACGGATGAAAAAGTTGCGAGCTCTCGGCCAAGCCCGCGAAATTAATTTTAGGTACGCGTATCGCGGCTGTGGAAAGATCGATAGAAAGGTCGGTAGATAGGCTCGGATAGCAGAAAGGTTAGCCAAACCCGGTCAATAATTCGCTCGACTATTCAATTTTAACTCTGGCCGGCGGTACTCGCGATAATTGGACGCATAATTTATCCTCGGTTACAGCGGCGAAACGTATTTCTTACGTTGGTAATTATCGGACAGTAATTTTTTATCGCTGGACAATCGATACACACAGCGCGGCAGCATCGCGAGTAATTAAATCGTTAATTGTAACGACGATGCAAGACGTACGCGTGTTCCGTTCGTCGAAGTAATCGTCCATCTCTACAATGATTCGGACAAAGTTGCCTCGTTTTCAAGAGCAAGCGAGAAAGGAGGGCTGTTTTCGAGGTAAATTATTAACAATCTGCGAGCACGAGCTTCCGACTGGGACGGAGGCGACGGAGGCACGCGTTGGCCGTTAAATAATTCACGAGGGTAGGAAGTAAAAAACGCGCGTGGACAAAGACACGCTTAGGAAAAGAAAGGTGGTTTTAAAAAGCAGGGGAATCTGTTTTATCGCGGCTCCATTAATCTACGCTGTTGCAAAGGATTGTTTTCGTTGCGCGTTACACGGTAGAAACAAAAAGAAAGGAAACCGCACCGGCCGCATTGTCCGACGTTTGCGCAACCTTTTCCATACATTTGCATACAAGTGATCTCGTTAATGCAACACCATCGCCGATAATGACAACCGTGGAACATAATTTCATTGGTCCGCGAAACGACGGAGCATCGGCGTTGCTGTTTTCGTTGCGAAATAAAATGAAGCTCGCTGCGCGAACCGTAAACGTAACCGTTTCGCTCTTTTTTTATCGGCTTTCTATCGCCGCGAGCAGAAGTTTACTGTATTACGGTAAACAACTCGTTGTTAACAGACGTGTATGTACGTCCATTCGGAACAACAGATTCTTGCATTACGCTGTGTACACGCGCGACACCGCGGCAACTCGCTTTATTGTTCCAGCACGTGGTCACATATATCGGAAGCAGGTACGCGTAATTTGATTAAAAACGTTGAAAGTGTCCCGTCTTCGTACAGGCACGCGCTGTAGAAATTCCGTTTGTGTGAACCTGTCTGGGAACAAATGGTTTCTATCAGCTTGTTTTAATCTTTATGTCGTACGCCACTTGAACGTTTATAATATGAATAATTTTCAGAACTCGATAGATTGTACATTGTGTATACAAATGTATGTATATATATATATATATATATATATATATACGCATTCGGTAAAAGTGGTTCAAACGAACTTTGATTTTATAATAAACATCTTAATTTCGTTGTTTAGTTATGTGAATTTAAATCTGAAAAATGTGACATATAATTATGAAACAAAATAACATTTGATATTTAATATTCAGCAGTTGTTGCTTATCTTTAATTGCCAATTAGTTAATGAATTTATTTATTTTTGCAATAACTATCGTTCATACATAATTGTACAATAGATGTTTACTCATTCATCACTGCATTCACGCGATGGGAATTTACTGCATACGTAGTTCAGATAAGCGAATTCAACCGGTAAATTGTTAAATATATAATTGAACGAAAAATTTCACTCAAACACATGGAGTTCATACAAACGGAATTCTATTCTACAGTGGCTACCGAAAGTATTTGCACACACTCTTATTTTCCAATGCAACCTTCTCCACTTTCGTTCTACTACATTTTATTCTCGTAGTATCAAATGGTATGAAAGAATTGTTAAATGTACTACTATTAAAACAAGATACCGCAAACATATAAATATATATATATTTATATGTTTATTATATGTTATTATATATATATAGTAAAAAATTATATGTTATTATATATAGTAAATATATATTATATATAGTATATATATATATAGTAAAAAATTATATGTTATTATATATAATAAATATATATTATATATATATATAGTAAAAAATTATATGTTATTATATATATATAATAAAAAACTTAATATCCATTCGGAGCATATGGCAATGTTAAACATGATGTGAATGTCACTGTGAATGTTTATACAGCTATTTAAATACTTTCTTTCTGCGAAATCTATACTCGTGTCAGGCATCTCCTAATTATAGATTTGTTTCAAACTGATAATATTAACGCTAGAACTATCAAAAAGTGGTCGAAATGAGTTTATAATTTCCCATCGAAATTTTCATAAATTCATAACAGGTATTTATAACAGGTATTTAGAACGATTTCTAGCAAAATATATCGATGGAAGCTCGTGCACTTTATTACATTACAAATTCTTTCCTGTTCCTTGCATCCTAATTTGATACCATAGTCACCGGTAGTTTTAACGTTAATAAAATTTCAAAACGTTTTCATATACAATATACACGTGAAACATGTGTTAATAAAACTGTCCTACACCACTCCGCAAGCAAATATACATAGACACTATTGCACAGTAAACGACGTGCAAATATTTTTACTAGCCGCTGTATCGTCGTATAATCGAAAATGACGTCTCACACGCAGGCAGGCCGTACCCGTTGCAAAACTGCACGGCGTACAATCAGACTGGCTCCTGGATCAGGATATCCTGCGTGGAAGGGTACGACGGTGGTTTGCCGCAGAAATTTGTCGCGATCGTGGACAAGCAACGAGTGGAATCGGCGAACCCTTACTGGGAGCTGGAACTTCGCAAGCCGACAACGGTCGCTCTTTACGCGGTCAACATGAAGGGCTCGAGTGATCCAGTGATCATGGAAGGAGAAGCGCTAAAAGGAGTGGCCAAGTTCACCGGTGCGTAAGTACTTCTACAGAAGTTGAACAGGGGTTGTACAAAGAGACGGAAACACAGCGGCCCGGCATCCATTTCATAAGCCGCGCGCGTTCTTCAAAGGACACTACCCCCGTCAAAGCTTGCTACTCGTTTAGAGAGATGAACAGATTCTCACGGTTGCCGCGCATCTACGCATCCCGCCAATCGGAATGCGTCCATTTACTTTCTTTCATGCTCGTTAATACGTTTACGCGATTCGCTTGTTTATCGAGGGAGAAGCTTCCTCCCGTTAATTATAATCGGAACGTTCTGAAATTGCGTTCGATGAATGGGAACCGCGAGTTTCCACGGAAAAGGGAAAAGTACTGAAAGACATGACCGATCCGAGTGATACAAGTGGAAAGAGGACGACTCTGCATGAGGGAAATGAGAGAAAACATTTCTTTAATCGAGGAATTCCTTTTCGTGAAAATAATCGAAAATTACTGCGAAAATTTGTCAAATATTCGTCGACTTGATTCCTTTCGGATTGAACAAGGGTGAGTAATAATCGAAAGTGAAATATATAAAAGAAAAAGAGAGAATAAAAATCTCGTTTAAAAAAAAAAAGACTCCAAACGTATTTAATTGAGAATTAAGCAAGAGATGTATCTAGTAAATTTACAAATTTAATTCTCTGAGAAACGAGGCGTTTTGTGAAAAAAATTTTTTGTTCTACATTTTTGCAGACGAAATATTAACCCTATTAATTATTAGTCTAGTTCTGAATTAGCTAAATTTAAATATATTTTGCAAACATTTGAACTAAATTTTAACTAAATTTTCTCGACAAAGTCTTAAAAAAAAAAAAACCTCCTATTAATTATTAGTCTAGTTCTGAATTAGCCAAATTTAAATATACTTTGCAAACATTTGAACTAAATTTTAACTAAATTTTCTCGACAAAGTCTTAAGAAAAAAAAAAACCTCCTATTAATTATTAGTCTAGTTCTGAATTAGCCAAATTTAAATATATTTTGCAAACATTTGAACTAAATTTTAACTAAATTTTCTCGACAAAGTCTTAAAAAAAAAAAAACTCTTATTAATTATTAATNCTCTTATTAATTATTAATCTAGTTCTGAATTAGCCAAATTTAAATATACTTTGCAAACATTTGAACTAAATTTTAACTAAATTTTCTCGACAAAGTCTTAAAAAAAAAAAGAAGAAAACTATTGTTCTTCCTCTTTCTGTATATAGAATTAACCTCTTTCTACTTGTAATTGGAAACGAAACTGGAAACATGTTGTTCCCTTTGTAAAAGAAGAGAAAGAAAGAAACAAGAGGGAAACAGAGAAATGAAATTCAGAATGGTAGCCAAATAAAAATTGGACGCAGTCCTGTTTCTGTCCGCGTATTATTTCTGCTACGTTGCCGCGATAGCTCGTTCAAAAGTATATGTCGTTAATAAAATCCGTTAATCAAATATCCGCGAGTCGACAAATTCTTTTACTTCCATTTGTCCAAACGAACGTTTAATTAATTATGCAAATACACTCCGCTACGTGCATACACACGCACAGATTACGATTTGTCACCACGTAAAATTACATTTTAAATTTTATATCGGCTTTGTTCTGAATAATGTATTTCCAACAGTAATTGATATATTTGTCATTGCAAACGGTGCAATTGAAAAACCGACTGATGTAGTTGATTAAGAATTACGAAACTTTGGTATTCACGGAACCAACTGTTACTATTATAGGATTACGAACTTATTTCAAAACTAATAAACACGTACTTGTGTATACATATCTTTTGGTGAAATTTTCGTAGAATTGATCTTGACACACGAGAATTACTGAGACTAGAGAAATGCGCAAAGAATAAAAAAAACACAAATGGCCGTAGCTTCTAATTTACTATATTTTGCAAAACTCGCTCAAATTTCTAAAAACACGCAGCTGTAATTTTATAAAATTTCTATGAAAAATCACGAGTCGTTTCAACCATTCCGGTGGTTCTAAGCGTCAATACACTTGTCGTGCTTTCAAAACGATCGTTATTTTCGTCCACGTGTACGAAAAAAAAAAAAAAAAAAAAAATTGGAGAGTTAGAGAGAAGTTAGTTTTGTATTCTAGCTTAGCCTTTCAAAAGTTTAGAGCATGCGAGAGTTTCGAAAGAAATACTTCAGCTTTCTTCATATAAATATAAATATTTTATTTATAACATTAATATCTCAAAGCATGGAAACTCTAATTAATGTCGTTCGGAAACCAAATTTATAGCTATAACACGTCGGAAACAAGGTTGATAATAACCAAGTTCACTAGCTGTTCTTACATAAAATCTGCTCTCATTTATTCTGACCATACCAAATAAAAACCAACGTTCGTACGAACGAGATAGATACGATATAAAAACATTCCACTTCCAAGTACTCATATTAATCAGAATGCACGAAGAAAGAAGTGTGCCTCGTTATGAATAAATTACATAGAGTAGATACGTTATTATTAATTGTAGAGAGTTGATAAACCGAAAACAGAGAGTAGACGTACAGAGCATGGTCGACGATAATTTGGTTTGCAGGCGAATCGACATCCTCGGTGGACATGTCACCGATCCTGATTGGCCTAGGCGGAACCGCGACCGGCTTGGGCTTGATCGTGACCGGAGTATTGATGGCACTTTGGAGGAAACACGCGGCCACTCCGGCGAAACCGAAACCACCCCAACAACCCAGCATCGCGACTTTCGCTGGCAAAGGCGAAGAGGAAGACGGAAATCCTGATCTCATTCCTACCACTGCCTTGACCAATCATCTCGCAGGTGAATTACAATCATACTCTCTGTTACGCTCTGTACACCTCTATTTATTTGAACTATCGCACAGTTCTGTTCCTGTGTCACAAAATCTACAGGTGAATCCGAGCGGAAAGAGAGATATATATATCTTTTTTCTTTTCTTTTGTTTTTTTTTTTTGCTTTTTTTTTTATTTCTTCATTTTCTTCATTCACGTTCAATGACATCGTCGAGGAATGACCTACCATCTCATCTGGCAAATTTCTACTCAGACTGATGAAAGTGCTCCGTTTAAGGGGAGAATCGCAAATATATCGAGTCTCGTCCTAAACCACAACCGTGGTTAACGATACTTTCAAGGAAATTGCTCGCGAGGTACGCGTACGTTGTATCGATCTGTTAGGACGTAGATGCATCATTCAGGAATCGAATGTTTGATTTCGTTTAAGAAGAACCGATGAAATATACTCGCACGTGAATAATCGAGACGATGTAGCTATCATTTCGATCCTGTCATGTGTCAACTTGACACATTTTTCTTACAAAAAGTTAATCAAATTATTCCACCGCGCGTAAAATATTAACTCTGTAATATTTATTTTCCAAACATAAGGCATATGTTTTTAATATGTTTGATAGGCCGTTTGATTTGAGTCAGAGTTGTAGATAACTTTTGTTACAAAAAAAAAAAATTCCCTCTACAGGTAATGTAATTAATGTATATCGACAATTGTATATCCGACATGCTATCGAAGATAAACACGTAAATATCTGTAATTTTAAATATGTGTTCGTAGGACACAAACAAAACTGGAGAAAATAAGATCGACATGAAATCGAATATAATTAATGTAAAACTTATACAGTGATTGAATAGAAATTAATTTCAACTTACTTATTTATTGCTAACAAAAGCGTTTGTATTTAACTATTTATATTTTCACATCAAGACTGAATTCTACATGTGTAAATTGTTATTACACATAAACAGAAATGGTGTTTCACAGAAATTGATGAACACTTGTATATGAAGATAATAAAATAAAAAAAAAAGGTATTTCTTTTTGACCTCCATTAAGAGGTTAATTTTTCCCCTATTATATATATATATATATATATATATATATATCAATTTGATATCGAGTTGGAGTTGAAAAAAATGACGGACGAGAATTAAGACAGACATCTCGAAAGTGAAAAAGAGAAACACGCACAGCTATGACTGACGTTCGACAAATCGAATCATATCACAGTATACATTATGCTACGATGAAATTTTTTCCAGATAGGAAGCTTCTACATTACGGTTCCTTACCACGGAGGCCACGACAGCTAGAAGGTCGAGAAACATCTCATGATGTAATAGAAGACTCAGACTATCCTCGAGCATCGCCAAACGTGAGTAATCCAATCTTCTGCTTCGTCTTTGTGACAAGCGTAAGAAAAGCGTAATATTATAAACAGTCGTACTATTGGATGCAAGAAGAGCATCAGAATCCTTTTGAAAGAGTGAAGTGTTTAATTTAATTCGTTTCTCGAAAGCCGAACAAATGCGTAAAATTCTTAATTAGATTCTGCTTTTTTTTTTTTTTTTTTCTTTTAAATTTCATTAACGTGTATTCAAAATTGACGGTGTTTCAGCAAATTATATAATCAATATAATCATTAACGTGTATTCAAAATTGACGGTGTTTCAGCAAATTATATAATCAATAATCGATAAGCAAATTATATAATCAAATTATATAATCAATCAATTATATAATCAAAAATCAACTGACTTTTATTCTTTTAAATTTGTATCAATCTGAACACAATAGAGATTATATATCAAATGTTCAATTGTTTTTCAGTTAACCGTAAGTTTTCTTAGTCTTGTGACTATGAATAGATTTATTGTTAGTATAATATACCACAAGAATGAAATGTTCAGATGATATAGCAGACTTTTCTCTAGAGGCTAGAATCTTTTTATCGGTTTTTGTTACAATATACTTTGCTCCAATTGTTAACGTTAAGGAACAACATTGTTTTCTGTAGATCACTATTTTGCATCATTTTATGCAAGAAAGCTACGATTGAAAATCATTTTATGAAGAACTAATCAATCAATTTATATCGTTGAATTCTACATTTCTAACATTGGGACTGAATGAGAAGAAGAGAAAATAATCTCAAAGATTCGCTTAATTTTTGTTCATCGCTGTATCTTTCATTTGGATTCTATAATATCATAAAAATTTAAATTTTTATATTAATTAATTTATACGTGTGTATAGTTAATAACTATAAAGAGAAAACGTCAAGTTTTCTGACATTATAGACTGCGTATAAAAAATATTTTTTATCAAAACTGACTTTTGTCACTCACAATGCGATTCTCCTTACAACCAATAGTACAAATTGGATTTTAAATTGGTACAACTGGACTGGAAATTATATAGAAATTTACCAACTCTTAAAATCAGTATCTTTATTTTGCAAAGACTTACCAACTTTTACATTATACAATTATTACAACTACTAGACTATAGTTTCATTTTAAGCTTGACTTTGGATGAAACTGAAACTGAATTGATTATATAGAAAATTACTGTATAATACTAATCCACAAAAGCTATGGGAAATATTAACACTAAAACTACAAAAGTAGTCAAAATGATCATGAATGATGATAGATTTACAGTAACAAATTCAGATATAAATGATCTACTGTAAAATACACTAGAATAAAAGTTTCCATTCATTATTTTATTATAAACTTTTCCTATTTCTTCTACTTGAATTTTTAATAATTCTGTATCATTAACTGTATCACTCGCTATCAAAGCCATTGAAAAGAATTGTAAAACGAAAACGAGAAATAAAACATAGCCAATGGAAATAAAACTAAAACACTTTTTTCCTTTCAATGAAAATTTTGCTCAATTTCAAATTGTGAAGAATTGGTAACTTTCTGCCTAACTTGGCCCAGTTGTACCCCCTTCGATTGCGCAAACTCGCTTTACAAATCCAACGAACGTCGTCGTGAAAAATATTCTGCTGAGGGAACGAATGACTCTGTTTGCAGACATTTTATAGTCTTCAAAGGCCACATCGATACTCGGAGACGGTAATCAGAAGTGCCGTGATCCAGGAAAGCTGCATTTAAATAAAAATCGGCGAAGAAAACGAAACAAGCGTTGTAATGCACACCGATGCGATGAGGGGCTTAGTCACAGGATTGACACGCTCCGACTAGACCACGTTTTATCGCACACACATGAAAATCAAAAAAAAGACTAAAGCCATGCTTATGCAACATTGTACACGTTTCAGCGTACGAAGATATTTATTAGCAACTCGATAACAGTATGCCTTTGTAAATATTGTATATAAATAAAACACACTGATTTCGTGTTATGCGTTTTGCATTGTGATGTTCCTCCTTCTCAAGCACTCCTTGATCTCAAGCAATCATTCTAAATGATTCAATTTTCTAAACGAGAATTCGTGTCTCTCGTGAATACGAAAATAACACACTTCAAACACGAGTACATGTATGAGTAAATTAGGTTGATGCAAATGTCGTTCCTTTGGTCAAATTTATTAATTATCGATTATCAATCACATAAAAAGCGTTTGCTATAAATTTGCATATAAATTATAGCATATTTAGATAAAAAGATAAGAAGATTTACAGTAAAAACAATCGCGAATAATTAGAAGATTTCTTAATTATAATTTTCTCTTTGATAAGAATTCACATTTAGAAATACTGAATATACGTTTATAGCATTTGCAAAAGCTTAAAGATATCCTCTGTGCCTTGTTCCTTTGGTCAAATTTATTAATTATCGATTATCAATCACATAAAAAGAGTTTGCTATAAATTTGCATATAAATTATAGCATATTTAGATAAGAAGATAAGAAGATTTACAGTGAAAACAATCGCGAATAATTAGAAGATTTCTTAATTATAATTTTCTCTTTGATAAGAATTCACATTTAGAAATACTGAATATACGTTTAGCATTTGCAAAAAGCTTAAAGATATCCTCTATACCACCTAGACAATTTTTTAATACTAGAATTAAAAAAGAGATTGCGAATGAAAAATACTGTACCTAAAAATTCTGCTCCGAACTTTCGAATTTGGAAATTAATAACTTTCATACACGACACTTTGAAAAAGCTATCACTGTTTCAAATTAATATTTGAAATTTTAAGAGATTTATTAACATTCGAAAAAAGCGATATTTCGTGTCCACTAACCTAATACGTTCTTTATAAGTAATTTCATGTAAAATATCCAAAAATTGAAAGGGAAAGACTCTTTGGTTTTGAATCGAGGAGCTGGACAATTTCCACAAGAGATTTAATGCATCCATGGACGTTAAATGCACTCGGTAAAAAGGGGATAGCGTTATCTCGTATAGTAGTCGAGAACAAAGCTTGGAAGCGTATATCTTCGAAACGGACCAAAAGGTGATCGCATAAACTCTGCCCGGTTGCTGTTGAAATCCAGGTCAAGGAAAGGACGCGATTTATCGTGGCCCCGTTTCCAGATAATCTTTGTTTCAAGATGCGAGAATCTCAGATACTTAATGAGAATCTTTTCCTATCTGTCTTCAATGTTCAACGTTGGAATCTTGGTGTCTTTTATCGCGAGTAAATATATCGCACTGACCCGGTCGGGCTACTTACGACTGATATCTCCTCAATCGAGCATATAATTTCTCGTAACGTTCTTTCCAAACACCCTCGTAAAACTAAAAGATTTTCGGGCACAGCGCAGAGATATCACTAATCTACTATTCCATTCGAAGTGAGTTTTCTGACATTTACAAACATTTTTCAATTGATTGACAAACAAAAAGAGGCAACAAAATCAAACTTTTACTAATTTCTAATTCTCTTGATATTTTACAAAAAGGAGAGCACTAGCTTGAAGCTTTTGTAAAATAAATAATTAATGCAAATTCCAAATCAACAGATTCCTGCTGGTGAGAAATGCAGTGATTCTTGTTAATATTCAATGATACGATGTGATTATTGTTTTATAGATTTGTTTACAATAGTGTTACAGAATTACTTGTTTCTTAATTTGTTCTAGTTGATAGACGAGGTAAATTTTACTCAAGTTCTTAAATTTCTTAAATTATGTAAATCTCGTTATAAATTTTAACTACGATTCGGTTTTCTTCCTTCGAATAATGCATCAAAAAATTTCTGAGCATTGTCAACTCACCAAGGATTAGATATAACTTTTAACTCGCTATTTAATAATAAAAAACGAAAATTAAAAATTATAGTAAAATTTTGAAGAGAAGGGTACTATTATAATTTTAATTTTGCACAAATTAACACGATTGACTCCATAATCGAATTTTCACTTTCGAAAATAATTTAGAGTGCAAATATGATGTTTTCCTTTTACTCGTGACGATTCGAACTTCCTAAATAATTATTTCTTCAATACAAAAATCTATTTAACACATGTAATTTCTAATCTTGATATAAATAAGATGTCGAAATAAATAAAATATCGAAAGCTCTAATTTTTCTGACATTTACAAACATATTTCAATTGACTGGCAAACAAGAATCTTTCTGCAACTTCTTATTGCTTTTATCAATGACAATTCAATTGAAAATAATTCCTACGTTTACCGCAACAAATTAGAAAGAACATAAGAAATTTTCTAGTTTATCCCAAGTCAATATTTCAAAATATGTGATACCGAACCTCACTGAAAGATGTCAGTATATACTATTTAAGCAAACTCCCTATTTTATCGACATACTGCTTAATTCGTTGCTTTTTCAAATCACAGACGATATATGAATAAACCAAGCATTTTATGAAATTTCACGTCGCATGCTTTGAAATATCAACATTCTAAAAAAATCACTAGTTTTTTGAGCGCACTCTACGCTTGAACAACAGTGAGTGTGGGAACTATACCAAGTAAAATGATCAAAGTTGATCACGTAGTGAATGCGCCAGAAACAGGATTTTTCAAATCCATTACAGTGTTGTCATATTTTCAATACCGAAATGCGAAGCTAGTAACTAACCGAAATCATTCTACTATATATCAGAAAGAGCTCTATCTACATTTTACGATAATTCTTTCTTCAATAGCAAATTGAAATTCCAAAACTATTGACAAAATATTAAAGAACTTATCGGCTCAAATAAGTTTTATCAAAAGTTCGTTATAATGTGAGAGAAATTAAAAAGAAGAAGAAGAAAAAACCCTCTCATTTACAGATATAATCATTGCAGGAAAAATAATTAATCCTATTTCAGATTCTCTGAAATACTTTTGTACGAAATACGAAAAATATACAAATTCGAATGAAATATTTTACGTTTACAAATTAGTTATCCAGATATCAAAACTGTATTATTTATTTTTCATTAATATAATGGATATGTACACACAATGGATTTACACAAACACTTAGATCGCAGCCAATCAATTCATATTCCTTCAATCATTAACTCTTGTAACGAGCATTCTATTTTGGATATTTCATAGAACTTTTTATATTTAGTGTAATCTACGTGCAATCTTCTTTTGTTGATGTCAAAAAGATTTGTGAAATAAATTTGACAAGATATATTTAATTACCATTAGACCCAGGCATCATTCCCTCTAAATTCCATAGTCCATGTTATTTCATCTTTCATCCATGCATTTGGAAGCTGATAAATCTGTAACAAACTTATTTGTTGGATTGAGTAGTTTAAAAAAATTTAACACAAAAATTCCATACCACTAAAACAGTCCCAGTTTTTGGGGAAAAAAAAGTAAATGAATAACCAGAAGGGTTACTGTACAATTATCTATGTTATGAACCCGAGCAACACTAATTTACTAATTGTGAAATAGGAAATTTTCAAAATCAAACGCGAAGAGTGCTTCGTCCTATTTGAAACTCCCGAAAATAAGTACGCAATGCTATTAATCTATGCACTCGTCTTCAAAAATACGCAACACTAATTGCAACGCGTCCAGTGCAATCATGATGAATGACTACTTCTGTACGGTTCTTGTAGCTGCATTAGGTGATCCAGGTGAACAGAAACAGTCTTCCACGAATCCAGTGGAAGAATTTGGGCATTTTGTAAACGCAACACTACTTGAAGAAACGCGATTGTTCATTATCGCAACACTAACAAGGAAAAAAAGTAATTGAAAATCGCGATGAAATAATAAATAACACTAACTTTAAAACCGAATTTAATCACCAATTTAAATCGAAATTGTTATTAATAATATAAAATCTATTGTATGAACAAAAAGTTACTTCAAATATTCCAACACTGTAAAATTAATTAAAAGCAACGACTCTATAGTCTAATTTAAAACGATAGAAAGCAAGACAAATTTTATTATGTATAATACAAAGACAAATTTAAAAATTACAATCAAAACTGCAAAAGACAATCGCGGCATTATAATTCGCAACTCTAAAGCAAACACGATAATTATTTCTTCGCAATTCTAATTTAAACTGTAATTAATTTCTCGCAACACTAATAAACAGGCACGAAACTACCTCGCAACTCTAATTCAACCCGTAATCTATCGCAACACTAACAAGAAAAATCGCGATTTGCCCAATACGATGATGAACGTTGATGGAGAAGAAAAAAAATACAACTACAAATACTAAAAGAGCATAGTGACAAAGTAGTAACGAGAATGACTTCCCATGCTCTGGAATCATT